GTCTAAAAAATCATGTGTCAATTCACGAGTTTGCTCACAGAGCACTTTGATTTAGAATGTCACGCAACAATCACTCCATCATTTCTTCGGAAGGAGTATTGCGTGACATTGCGTGAGTTTACTGAATAGATTGGCTAAAATTTAAACTCTTAGGATTGATTCTCATGTTACTTCATCCCATAATATCCATACATTATTCAGCAAACAGGTAATGAGAATACTCACATTTAGCAGGTAGAAGTTGTTATTATAATCTAACACCAAATTCTTGTCACTAATTTACAAGGAAATGTAAGGCAATTAGAGCGGGGAATTAACAATAAGATCTTGAAAGTTACAGGGTTAATTAAAAATCATTTCATCTTAAGGGTCTAGTTTATATGAACTTGCAGCCAGAGTAATATGAAGTCGTAACACCTACGCTTAAGAATTCAATCGTAAACATGGTTTTGAATTTATCTGATATCAATTTGAAAATGATATTATCAAATATACTGGCAACCAGATCAACAATAACGATGCAAAAATAAGTGATTTCGTTTGGTTGGTGTAGCCACGGTCTAAATTATAAGGTAAATTCTCAGAAAATGGTCAACCGAAAAATGCAAATAGTGATCCCTACTTTGAATATAAAAAAAGTTTAGGCTTAGGATTGGCTAATTTACATATCATCGGATAAAACCGCCGCCATTGACGATGATAACGATCAGTAATCAGACCCAATCTTCTCAAATCCAGTGATTAAGTGCAAATATTTGTATTGGTCCAGCTTGTATGCGGAACCGTAATATCTTCATTTTAAATTATTTCTTCTTTTGCATTCACATAGCTTGGCGTAGCTGGAGTCCGTTCGGTCCGGCAATTTGCGGATTGTTTTTCGAAAGAACCACAGAAGTTGTGCGATTGAGTTGCTACACGAGTTGATCTAAAAATTATGGCTTTTTTCAGTGCATAAGATTTTCTTTTGCAAAGACTTTTTATGGGGCTTGTCTTGCAAGCTACCACCAACCTGGCAGTTCGTTGGCTTCTCTTTCTATCAAGAACAAGCCAAAAAAAAATAAAATAAAACCACAGACCTTTGTGGTATAGAGTAAATAGCGTAAGTAAGTACTAACCTTTGTGGACCTGACGAAAAGCACAGGAAGAATAAGGATATTTTCGCGCAGGTGAGGAATAAATCATTTTCATTCAATCGGTGCCTCCATCGGCTTATCTATGGATGTAACGACTTCTTCCTCACACGTTTTGTGACCAAACTTGGACAGTATCCACCAGTTATTACAGGAAAAACATAAGAAAAGCAACTGTCGTTAGTCTATGAACGGACAAAACAAAGACAAAACTTTACCTCAAACGAATGAAAACTAAACACCGACTTAGAGGAGGTACAACGGAAAATAAGCAGATATTTAGAAAAAACCGCGAATTGAAATAATTTTCAAAGTGAAAGCTTTTCTTTATCGCAAGTGTGACAGCCTTTAAAGGTTGTTAAGTGAAGTTTGGATAAAGTTTAGACGTATGGCACGTCTTTAAAGTCATTTATAAATTTCATAAGCGTTCTTTTAAAAAATGTAACAATCGCTTTGGTGTGTGAGAGTGTTAAGAATATCTAAATACTTCATGAGAGGATGAATAGATAGATTCCTAAAGATGATTATGTGCATAATTAAGACGATTGGAAACCGCGGGCGTCAGGGAAGACACATGGAAGGGTTGTGGTAAAAACTGTGTAAGTTGAAAATGACTGAGAATGTGTTGGCAGAAGATAAGTATAGGAAGTCTGCGTTATCAAAATTCCTTTTCCTTTTTTTTTTTTTTTTTTTTTCGAGAAGTCTTCTCTTAAGTTTTCCGTATGTCCGCTTCGAATGAATCGCCTCAAGGCATGCATGTGATGAACTAGTTAATTCACCAAGTAATATAGTGGTATTTTTAAGTAGATGTGACTCCATATGACTCTATTTTTAAGAATAGAGTCATACCGCAAAGGATCGCGTCTCCCTTCCACTCTTGGAAATGAATTAAATATTATTCTCTTGGCTCAGTTCAAGGTATTGGTAAAAAGATGCTGATTTTTTCAGCTAAAAGATTCGAATCTCTTGACGGTTTGTTCAGTTTTTTTGCTCTTTTTTTTTTTTGTTTTTACATGGAAGTAAACAAAGATGTAGGTGATCGTGTACAAAAGATCCGTGAAAGTTTCGCTTCTTTGTTTAGTCCACAACGGGGAGAAACTAAAGCTCGACATGGAGCAGAAGAGGACGATTTTGCGATGTTGCATTTTTAAAGATTAAAATACAAAATTCGAAATTACAATAAAAACTGAAAATCTTCACCTCTAAATAAGTGGGAAATCTTTTTCCTTTTCGCTTTTATAAGCTTGCTCGATCGCTTATTTCGGATGTTTCCTTCTATATGCGCGTACAGAGCGACGGTTGTAAATAGTGAAGCGCTGACAGGTCAGCAATGGCTAGTTATTCAAACTAATTTATCTGACATTAGTGGCCGTACGTGTCCTGCATACAATATCAACTCATGTGCTAAGACGCACGTGACTGCATGTAACACATTTTGTCGCACGGAAGCTAGTGCTAAGTATTTCAGAATTACTTTAAAGTGAATTCTTTTATGATGTTTTTATGTTTGGAGTTGTGATAAAACTTATGGTTGAGTCTCCTCTCTGGGTATTAAAAACAAACGAAAAACCTCCATTAGATTCTTTTTTTTTTAATAATTTATCTCTGAGTCAGTGATGTCACAGCTTAGCATAATGAAACAGTTTGAAAGATGATCAAACATCACGTTTGCTTTTTATTGCGTTTTTTTTTTCGCATAGAAGCCTTGAAAATCTCGTTTTTTAGCGATAACTTTTTTTTAATTAAGTTTTTTTCAGGGTTTTTTTTTTAAAGGTAAGTTTACGATTTAGATTCTGAGAAAAGTCAGTAAGATTTAAACAGTAACAGATAAGTTTACAGTTTGTAATTAGAGCGCTCCATTAAATGCAGCAGTTAACAAAACGAGGTTGAATTAAAGAAGAGATGGTAGCGAAACTAGATCAACTACACGTGCTGATCGCAACAACTTTGATAATTTCTAATTTTTCTTCCAACTTAATGCATATCAGCCACAACACAGCATCTGGTGGAGACTCGGAAAATTCAAGAATTTTAGGTTTTTGGATTGAACGTGAGGTCTAGGATCCCCCACAGTTTACCTGATTCAATCAAGAACTTGATAAAGAGCAGAGTGACAGGGTAGAGACACAATAACGATCAAGATATTTAGATGACATCGAGTTGGTATTGTGATGTTGAAGAAATTATCTCAACTACATGTGCTAAGTAAGAAATTGGTTGTCAGCATTTGGGAGAATTTTTAAGTCGTGGACCAGACATGTTCGACATTTAAAAAAAGAAAGTGAGTGTTCGCTGAAACGGATGTATTATGGACTTCAGTAAATATTTCTTTTAAATATTTTAAAACTCGTTGCTTGAGATCCATGCGGATGTAAACAAAGCAACCGTGGGTATGATTTATTTCTTATTCAAGCTTAGGGGTTGAATATTCCACTTGAAGATCTGAAAAAATTGGTTTTTTTTCTCCTGATGTCTCTCTGGGGTGAAATATTTGAAAAATCTGTTATCTCCAACAGATTGTGAATTATCAAGAGAGAATACCCTGTGTTGAAATACCCAATTTGGTCTTCCGGAAGCACGAGATCACCGGCACTAAATAATGTAAGAACATAGTGTTTAAGCTCTGAAAATCATGCAGTTTCTTTAAATTGATTTGAAGGCCAACTTTTACATTATTTTTACCGTAAAATGATACAACAATCTTTGTGAGAGTGAGATCAGTGAGAGACAACCATGAATGACGTTATTGGGTCGTATGAGACTAAACAAGATACATGTAATTACATTTTCCTTATCTTTCCGTGAGGATTATCCAGTTTTAAAATGTTCAAGAACCTATAGTGGATGTGAAATGAGTCACAAAGACTGTCATTGATTTTCCGACAGTCATTTTGCAATATGTTCTGCGGATATGAGTTAGCAGGAATACTGGGGTATTCCTTGCAAGGGACACGGGGAGGGGGGGACCTAACTCCTAGTATAATATTTGATGGGCTTTGCATGGCAAGAGCCTGAATTTTCCCTGGAAAACTATTTTTAGATCTATAAAACAAGAACTATTGTCTACCTCAACTTGAATTTTGCACCGGGTAACTGAGCGGTTGAAAGTCGAACGCGTAATTTCGGTAAGGATCGGTGAGGAAAGACGTCTTACAGGATACAGTGTGAAAATCCATGGATTAGACGGCTCATCTAATCAATAGGAAAAGACTTAAAAGGATTTCACTTAATCAGAACTAAGCAAGAATAAAGTAAATATACTTAGGCGCTTTAAACATTTACCCTTTGAATTTTCTGTTTTACTCGTATTGAACAAGACACCATGTCGCTCTTAATGAACTAAAAAAAAAATACGTGCTCATATTATGTAAAGGGGTGACTGAGCGCTTCTTCCTAATTTTAGTGCCAAACACATGTTTTCAGACACCATGTGTCACCGAGCGCTTCTTCCTAATTTCAGTGCCAAACACATATATTGCCAGACAAAGGTTGATATTTCAGACCGTTTCAAACAATTTGGACTTGGATACGTGAGGTATGCAGCTCGTTAGATGTTGGCAAAGGTCACGTTTACAAGTCTGAGACTGTCTGAACAGCTCCAAGCCATCGTTCCGGTCACAAGTTATGTTATTGAAAACCAGCTTTTGTCCTGAAAGACCTTTAAATCCATCTTTTTAAAGGCGTCGAACCAACGATCAGCATTAATATGCGTTGTTTTTCTTTTGGTCTGAATTTCCTGTAGTGAAAGGGTTGCGATCGAAACTTTTTGGTCACGTTCAAGTACCTCGGAGCTGAAACTATGGGAGCTTGTCCGCGAAAGCTACTTAACTCCCTGCCAGTGTCACGTCTGTGAGTGTATCAATAGATGAAAGAGATAATTTGAATAAAATAGCATAACAAGCTCAAAATAGACATTATTAAGTTTAAATCGTTTGCAGGGCCTCTCGGTCTATGGTTAATTTTTTTTTCCCCCACATTTTTATTGCAATTTTGAAAATAAAAAAGTGTTTACAAGACTCTCAGTATACTCTATTTACATTTGTAAGCTATTATTAATTATAAATTACATTTATATTTTTAAACAATTTCTATAATTATATTTGTAAACTATTATTTATTATAAATAAGTGCCATCTATAT